AGTAGCTCCTGAACTCTTTGAATTGTCTGTCTGCATTCTCTTTTAACTCATTGAGTTTCTTAATGACAGCTATTTTGAATTCTCTGTCATTTAGGTTATAGATTTCTGTGTCATCAGGATTGATTTCTGGGTACTTGTCATTTTCCTTCTGTTCTGGAGATTAATATATTGTTTCATACTGCTTGACAGTGTGTATTTGTGCCTCCTCATAGAGATAGAATTTGGTCACAGCTTCCACCTGCTGCCACTGCGGGAAGGAGGCAGGAACCGTGTAATCTGAGCCCACCAGGATCCCCATCAGCTGTGCCTATCAGAGCCTGGGCCACTCCTTTGGATTGCATTGGGCCTGTAGGTTCTCCTGCTTACTGGGAGAACAATCACGCAGGGGTTCTGGGCTGCTGCCACCTGCTCCCACAGCCCTGCTGAGTCACACCCCCCCTTCAGGGCTGCTGTGGTACTGTGGATGTTTGTGGCAGCCAGGGGCACTTTCACCCAGGCCGTAGATATGCTGCCATCTGCTCCTAGGTCGCACCAGTCTTTGTGTTTGGTGGACGGGGCTTACCCACTGGGTTCGAGCCAGTGTGACACCCTGGGGCCACGGTGAGACTGTGGCTTTCCCACTGGACCAAAGAGCAATCATATGGGGGCTTATGGCTGCTGCCGCCTGCTCCCACAGTCCAGCCAAGTCCTACCCCCCTCTTTGGTACTGCAGCAGTACTATGGGTGCTCAAGACAGCTGGGGGTTTGTTTGTGCCACTTGCAACTGTGCTGCTATCTGCTCCTAGGTTGCACCAGACTTTGTGCTTGGTGGGCAGGACCTCCCCACAGGGTCCGAGCCAGACGTTCCCTGGGACAAGGGTGGGACTGAGGGCTTTCTCATTGGACCAAAGAGCAATCACATGGGGGCCGAGGGCTGCTGTCACCTGTTTCCAAAGTTGCACCAAGGTGCTTGCCCACCCTCGGGGCTGCAGATGAGCTATGAGCGCTTCAGCTGGGAGAGCAGTCACATATGGGTACTGGGCTGTCTAGGGGCTGGAGAGTTCTCACCTATCTCCACCACCTCCCTGGGAGTAGTCCATTTACCCTCAGAGGTAGGGCAGCACAGGTCTCTCAGGCATCCTGAGGCGGTGTGTGTGTATCCTCTGCTGATCAATTAATGTCCATTTATTTGTAGTTTGAAGGGGGAGAGACAAAAGGGACAACTCGCTCCACCATGTTGCTGACATCACTCTGGACTTTTTTTGATTACCTGGTCTCCATACACCCCCATCTAATAGGCCCTTGTGAAATGATACTTCCAGTCCTTAAGCGTAAATGTTGACAAGAACCGTGATCCAACAATTTTCAAAATATTTGATGTTACTCTGTTCCCAGTATGTGGTTGGTTACCTAAGTAAATGGTTGTGGGTCCCTTTGAGAAGGTCTGGTGACTCATTACCAGGCATACTTGCCATAGTATTACAGGCAGCCTTCCTCCTGGGGACATTGTGTCTCCTTCAGTCAATCAATTCTGGGTCTGAAAACTGGCTCAGTTCTAGAAACTGGGCAAGGGATTGTGACTTTTTACATGCCTTCAGCATCCTGATCATCCATCTCTATTTGCTTTTTGATTGTACAGATTGAGCAGTACCCTTCTTGGTTGCCCATCTATCTTGCCCCTGGGGATACCATGGTCTATTAATCATCTCTATAGCTCTCTGTGTATCAGACCTTCCAGGCTGCCATGACAGTCTTTGTGCTGTGTCCATCTTTAGATAGTTATCTTATACTACCTGGCCTCTCTTATGTTGGTGTCTTATCAATCATCTGCTGTTAAGGGGTCTGGTTTTATAATGGAATCTCTTACTGTCAGCCCTGGTTAACAAAGGACAGCCACCACTGAGCTTCTTAGTGATGCTGGTGTCTCTCCAGCCAGTGCATTTCTTATTGCTTTGGTAAACAGAATGTCCTCTGGGCCTTCTACCAGGCCATAAAGAGCTGGGGTTTTTTCTGGCCTTACTTAGTATTTCTACTCTAGCATATTTATTTTTCTAAGCCTTTGACCGCTCTTCTACTGTCAGTTGTTGTCCTGCTGACTTCCTTCTGAACCTTATCCTGAAAGGTTAAAAATACACCATTCTAAGTTGTTTCCTTGTAATGTACATACCCTAAGTGCTTAAGGGCAATTGGACCTGCCAATGTATTATACATGCTTGGAAAATATGAAGTGCTAAAGAATTATTTGTAGCATAAATAAATGAACAATTAATTAAGTGCCTATGGCATACCTAGGGCCAATCATTCCCTTAAGAACAATGATTAGTGAAGAGCTGAAATTAGATTTGGAAATCATCCAAATGGAATTATTTGATTTTTGACTCTTCCCTGGGTAGAATGGAAACATGGAAAGAGGACTGAATTTGAACTCTGTAGGCCTGGATGCATATATTGACTGTGTTACTCACAAGCTGTGGGAAGTGGGGCAAACTACCTAACTTCCATAAGCTTTGGTCCTTCTCTCCATGAGGCTGGTATAGTACCTGTTCTGTCCTCTTCCAGTGTTCTTATAAGAGTTAAGTTGAAATATTAGCAGCTAAGACATTGACAGCCATAAAACATCATGCAGACACAGGGGTATTTTATATTATTATTACTAATATTAGGAGTTCCCTTTCCAGTCATCATAAGGAGGATAAGTGTGTCAGGAAACACTCAAATGGCTGAAACTGGAAGAAGAGGAGCGGGGAGCTTGCACAAGTAACTACAAACTATGAATTATAAAAAATCAGCATGCAGATGTGTGTTCCTGGCACATGGTTTTGGGGTCATTTGTTATGTCTTAGGCTCTGTACAAGGAATATAATAAAAGAATGGCTGAATTCCTGATTATTTGGTTGAAGATATATTTGTAATATTTATCTCTGTATTAAATTAAAATCTTTTGCAGAATTTTCTATCTTCTTTATCATTCACAACTTCTGTTTCTTTCAAGCATCATATAATGAGGCCATTGTCAAAAGGCTGTTTATGTGGTGTTGATTTTTATCAATCTCAGTTAATTGTTCAGAGATGAGTGGTCCATACCCGTGTTATGGTACATTATTTCTTTAAACTACACTATTAAGGTTATGGATTTGGGTATCACTGAACATAAAACACCTTCATTGGGGAGGAACTGTTTTATATCCTCATACAAAGACCTTATGCCATGCAATATCAAGGAACAATAAAAACCATTCTTCCAAAAATACTTTTTTGACCCTGAAGCATAGATGGTCATTGAATGGTCAGTATTCCAAATGTTTTCTTATTATCTTGTGAGTGTTCAAATCCAACTCACTTAAACAGCTAGTTGTGTGATGGAGGTATAAAGAAAGCCTTATATTATACATATATTATTATATATATACATATGTAAATTATTCATTGCCATCTGTCTGGATTACCAATGGAAAATTTCTAGAGTCACATTTCTGTCCTTGCCCATGCTTCCCTCTTTTGTTCTGAGACACAGAAGTCAAGTAGGAGGATGGGGCCATTCCGTTTGGGTTACAAGTTGGCAAGCTCACTTCAGCCACAGAAATCCATCAGCAACATGTCTCTTTTCTCAATTTGAATTCCTTCAACCTAAAATGTCCCCTGAAAATGGCACTTGTTCAGCGCAACTCAGGTTCATCACCAACTGTGAACACAAGCACTGCAAGAGACTCAAAAATGGAAAATAAACGCTCCTATCCTTAGGACCTCCAAACCTAGTAAATGACTAGTAAACAACTACAAAGGATGGTGGTGTAATGAATGCCTCAGAGGGAGTTTGAACCAGTTGCTGGTTTCAAGGTCGGGGGGATATTAATTTAAACTGTGTGGGCTCGGGGTGGGGTGATCGGGGAGGACCTTTTAGAGGAGGTAGAGTTTGGGACAAACCCAGAGATGCATCCTTAACTTTTTTGTGTGTTTATTGACTCATTTTCAGAACAACATTTTGAAATGTATAAAACAAAACATGAAAGATTATAATGGAAACTAATTTTATTGAAATTTTATTGAAACAGTTGTTGAAATATCAAAAAATTGTGAAATTATAGTAAGGACACTTTTTATTAAGGCATTAAATAAAAAATTCCTCCTTCAGGTTTAATAACTGTTGTAGTTTTGAAAACGTGATGAGTATAAGTGATAATTCAAGACATCTGCAGGACTGTAATGATATGGATCTATCTTATTTCTATTTGTGACAAAGTCACATGTACTTGTAGTATTTCTACAGTTTGTTGCCTATTTCGTAATGGAAGGAAATGCTGCATTTCAGTTAGAAGTTAGTGAAAGTCAAGATGTAATTCTTTTAATCCAAGTTCACAAATCCCCTTAATTTTATCTCTGGGTGCTTTGGGGACCTGTGGAGTACAGGGGTTAAGAAATGCTGGCCTAGAAGGATGAGGATGACATTGATAGGGACGTGGAGAAAGAAGAGAGAGAGGAGAGACACTTCCAGGCAGAACAACCTGAGAAAGGACCTTGGAGACAGGGCAGGAGAGGGACTGCTTGAGTAGATGGGTATGGCTAGGGTGTGTGTGTGTGTGTGGGTGTGTGTGGGGGTGTGTGTGTGGTGTGTGGAGGGTGCACTGTGTGGGGTAGGATGAGAAAATGATGGGTGGATAGCAACAGGGGAGATTGTGAAGGGTTTGGCCGGCCAGAAGGAGGAATTCTATCAGTGGGGAGTGGATCAGTGATGTTTTTGAGTATGGAACTGACATAAATATATCTTTGTTTTAGGAAAGTAATTTGCAGCATAATGGGAGTGGGGTCAAAAAGGCTAGAGGCAGGAAGCTTTTCAGAGTTTATTGCACTGGTCAGGAGAAGTATATTGAGAGCTTGAAGTAATTCAGTAGACGTGGAAAAGAGAAGATCTAAGCAAGAGACAGTGGATAGGCAGATTGAAAGGACCTGGTGACTGAACGAAAAGAGCAGATCATGGGGAGGGGACAGAAAAGCTGATTCTACGTTTTTAACTTGTCCTACAGGAAAGACGTCCTACAGGAAAATTCACCAAAACAGAGAACACAGGAAGACAGGTAAATTTGTGGCAAAAGAACTATAAGTTCTTTCCGGGTGTGTTGAATGTTATTCATGGGCTTTTCATGTGGAAATGCTCAGCAGGGAGCGGGAGATGTGAGTCTGGAACTTGGACAAAGGTTCAGGACTGGAGAGGTAGATTTTTAAATCATAAGAAAAACAACTGAAATTAAGGGAGTAAAAGAAATTGTCAAGGAGGACAAGGGTGCTGAAGACAGAATCTTGTGTGACTTCTCAGGCTGTGCAAAAATAGTTTCCAAGAAGAATCACTTAGCAATTTTGCATATTTACTCCTTGTTTCTCTAGTTCCACAAAGTGAAAAATATGCTGGTTTTGTTTCAAATATTTTACTTCCTCAAAGATCAGTAAGACATTGGCCTACTTTCAAGGAGTTAATATTTCTTGTAGGAAAGCCAACATATGGACAAACAGATACAATTTAGTATAATTAGTGCAATAACGAAACTATGTACACAGCAGGGAGTGATACAGAGTGGGAGTGATTAACTACAACTAGGAGAAAGTCAGGGAGGGCTTCTTAGAGAAGGTGACATCTGATCTGGATTTGGAGGGAGGAATGGAAATTTGCCAAGTGAGAAAGGCATTTTAAGCAGTGGGAATGAAAGTGCAGAAGCCTAGTGCGTGGAGGACCTGCTCTCCTTCCATTGTTTCTGATGATCAGTCCTCTATTTGTGTCATACAACAAGATCTGAATATTTACAAGACTTGAATTCCTGTCTCTCTGTGACTAGCCCCTCTCTTCAGCTTAATCTTTAAAAAAGGACCCTCAAATTTAGCCATGAAACTCCGTTTTATGCTTAATCCAAATCTTTTCAGTTGAAATTTAGCTCCACTTTCTCTGGTTTTGTTCTTTTAAATATGGAGATGATTCAGTAATCATCTTGTCAAAAAAAAAATTGTTCTACAAAGTATCCAGTAAGTGCAAAAGTAAAAGTAATGCCATGTTTCATGGAACACAATTCATCCAAAGTCCTCTGTGCCCCAGCCTTTTTTTTTGTCTCCAGATTATGTTCGTATAACTTGTGCCCTTTCATGGAAATTAAGGCCATTTTGGAGCCTATGTTTTCAACTGAAGCACGTCAGCACTGTTCATGATATGTACCCACTGGTTAAGCTTAGTTTCACAGTAGAGCCATTGAGTGGTATTTGTTAAGATAGATGAATGCTTTTTCTTTTTTTTGAGGAAGATTAGCCTGAGCTAACATCTGCTGCCAATCCTCCTCTTTTTGCTCAGGAAGACTGGCCCTGAGCTAACATCCATGCCCATCTTCCTCTGCTTTATATGTGAGACGCTTACCACAGCATGGCTTGCCAAGCGGTGCCATGTCCACACCCGGGATCCGAACTGGCAAATCCTGGGCTGCTGAAGAAGAACGTGCAAATTTAACCCCTGCTCCACTGGCTGGCCCCTAGATGAATGCTCTTTAAATGTGAAAAATGTCATCATGCAAATTGTTTTACTTTTGCTGCTTTATATCTTTATACTATTGTATAAAGACAGAGTCTTTTCCTCCACCTCTTTCTTGGGCTGGGGCTCTAATCATACTTTCTGGAGTCCTGGCACATACCTACTGAGGATGTCAGAAGATATTCTTTGGAAAAATAAACAAATCAGAAAGACTCTATAAGCACAACAACAGAGTTCTGCTTTAATATGCAATCAAACAAAAGAGAGATTTGTCTTTTACATGTTTAATTCTGAGCTTGGACTGAGAATGATTCTTTTCCTTCATCTTCCCCGTCATCCTGGACCTGCAAGAGTCATACACAGCTCCAGAGGGGAGAAAACTGGATAGAACCATTTGACTGAATGCCCATGTCCAAGGTCAAGAGGAAAGAGCTGGGACACTGTGTGGAAGGGTCAGGAATAAATGAAAAGTGAAGACGGAGAGACCCCAGAGAGGAGGGACCAGATAGACTGATAGGAAACTGAAGGAGGAAAATTAATTTTACAGCAACTTCTAGACTCAATGGATAGGCCTTTCTATCTAAAAAATATGTAAATCATATATACTACCATATGTCAGGCATTTACCTGTTTAGGAGAGACCAGTTCACACAAATGCCAATACTCCACGCTTAGAAGGCATACAGGAGTGAAATAAATATCTATTTAGGAACAAAGATTCTGTGGCACTTTGTACTGTCTTGTACATATTATAGGGTTTTGGGTGGAGGAAATAACCTTCTCCTAGGCACCTTCTTTTTAGAGATGCAGGGATTGCCTAGAAATGGACTTCAGCTCTTGACTGAGCTTATCTGAAAGAGTAAAGAAGTGGTTCCCATGTAACTAGAACCAGTCGAAGTCTGGTTCAGCCTATGATTGTCTCCTGCCTTGAATTGGTTGATTGAATAACTAACCCTTTGTTATGCAGCATCCTCTACGTCCCATGTCTTGTGTAGGGGCTGAGGGAACAAGGATGAGAATAAACAGAATCTTTCCTTGAGGAGCCGAGGGGCATCCAATACATAATACCCACGATACTTCCACCCACTGCAGAAGACAAAGAAAAGGCTATGTAGTCTTTAGGAGGTAGTACTTTGCTGGTGTTTGGCTGTTTACTAGTGAGATGTACAAATCTTCCTGAGGCCACCCTTGGCTCATATCTGCTCTCTGGTTCCTAAATTCTATTCAGCAACCTTTTCTTTGCCCATTGGATTTCACACAAGAGTCCTCTTTAAATTCAAAGTTTAGGCTGTTAGGAGTCTGACCTTTCTGGAAGACAATGACAGCCACAGATTTAGTTCAAAACATTGACTGAATGAATCTGTTACTAGAATCTAGAAAAGAGAATGTGGAGTGGAACAGCTTTGACCCTGCTCTGTACCAAGGCATACTTTTCGGCTTTATATACTTTACCTTATTCAATCCTCAAAACCACCTGTGAAACATATATTGCTCTCACGTTACACAGGAGGAAATTGAGATTCAGGGAATTTAAATAATGTACCCTAAGTCAACAGCCAATAAGAAGAGAAGGTAGAATTTGAAGCTGTTGTATCTCTGACTCCAGCTCCCGGGGTCTTGCTCCCATGCTACCCTGATACTCAGTGATGTCACATTGTCCCCAAGAAGGTAGCGGGTGAACACCAAAATGGCTCTTAACAAAGATTACTAGTAAAGTTCTCAGAAACATTGCAGACAATTAAAAAAGAAAGTCATCATTTCTACCCAAAGTTAGATTTCTAGATTTTTTTTCAAAGATATATTCACTGTCTTTGAAACACGTCTTTGGAATGGACCATAAAATAGCGTGTTAAGTGTAAATTCCCACAGGAACAAATCAAATTTTTAGATAGTGACATGAATGAGTGTGTTATCAGAGGACCATAGATGTATATAAATCCTTTAATTACCATTTCCAATGCTAACGTATATACTTTAATTAGAGGTGTGTAGTAGGCTTCTTTGTTAAAAACAAGAAATTGGAACCATATGGATGTTGCCTCATTTTTGTCTGAGCCCTTTTGGGAGCTGTAAACCTTAAAGTGATGCTGGAACCCAGTACTTTTCCATCTGCCAAGCAAGGTGAGAATAGTAAGTCTCTGCGCAAAGGCTGAACACACACGAGGGAAGTATAGCCCTAAACTACTCTTTGCTTCCACACTTGTGTGCCCCACTTTGCTTTGACTAATTATATAATCTGCAAAGTAAGAAAGCCAAGTGATTTTTACCTCTTTTGCTGATTATATGGTTTGGAGTAGAGATGCCTTTGATACGAGGCAGGCTTTAATTTGCCTTAAATTTGGAGCTATGAGCAACAGGAGTTTTCTGAGAGAGACTTGTGGGAAGATCAGAGAGAGATGAGAGGAAAGGATTCAATTGTAGTAAGGTGGAAATAGCTCAGGCTCTGGGTTGGAATTTTGATATCCCTAAGAGACTTAATGGCAGCCTTATGATTCCACTGGGGAGCAAGCCCACAACCTTCTATGTGTAAAGTGGATGTGCTAACCACTACACTATGGAACCACTGGGCTTAAACTTTGGTTGGCCACTTAATAGCTCTGTGGCTGGCTTTTGGCAAGGTTTGAAGCTCTCTGAAGCTCAGTTTCCACGTCTATAAAATGGGGATAATAACTCCTTGCTTGCTGGGTGATCGTGAGATTTAGAGATAAGTGTGTAAAGTGCCTGGTACCAGGAGGCACGTGAGAAATATCTGACACGGTATGATAGTTTTTATCTTTTGTTGAAAGAGTTTATCTTCCAGCAGTGTGAGAGGTCCTGAAAAGCATCAGGATGCATGAAAAATCGGATTCATATTGATGATAGCTCTCTTGGTGCATTTTTCTTGTTTCTTTGCCATTCTCATGTCCCTGGCTTTCCACAGGTTAAATTAATTGTCCAAACTCACCCTTATCAGCCGCTCTCTTTTGTGTTTTCCTTTTCATTCTTTTAGACAAAAACAAAAAAAACGCAAAACCAATTGGCAGAGCTAGTCAGACCAAGTAGTTACTTTGTTTGGAGGTCAAAAATTGCTTCTCTTCTCTTTGCCCTGCCCAACTTTCATTCTCTGGCCTTTTCAGTTTCTACACGTCAGTAGTAAAATGCATTGTGGGACAGATCAACAATACATCACCTCGACACTTTGGTGAGTGAAGACATAGATTTGGATAATAGACTTCAGCGGAAGTGTTTTCCTGGGGGTGTCCAGTTCTGTTATTTACAGAACAATGGCTCTACCAGAAAATAACTGGTAGAAACCTCCCCCAAATTGAGGATAATTCTTATAAATGTGGACTAAGGAAGCTGTTTTCCTGAGGGATTCATTAGATTTTGATTAGCCTCCAATATATTTGTTCTGAACAACATAGAGCCTTTCCCCCAGGCCAGGCGGGAGTTGCCAGCTGTGACAGAGATGGACATTTAATTTGTTTGTGATTGGGTTGTCAGAGCTGGACATTTGTCATATGAGATTTCTTCTTTACTCCTTTCCCCCAAATCTATTCCTAACAAGGGAAATCTAAAAAACAAGATGGA